GTATACATTACATATTGTATATATATATATATATATATATATATATATATATATTATTTATGCAGAAAGCACATTCATTTATTCACTTCTTTCCTTTAAAATTTCCAGCTACTTTTCCATAAATGGCATCAAAGTTGTCATGTTCATTTAACTTTATGTATGATCTAGAACATGATGAAGCTCATACACATCTGAAGACGTTTTATTATTTTATTTTATTTATGCATTAGTTCTTACCTGAAATACTGTTTACTACAGTGATGGTGCATATAGAGAGCGAGATTGGGGTTTTATAGTCTCTGGCAGTCTATGCCTGATGACACAAACATTTGTTTACAAAAATACACAATAGAGTTCCCTCTGCCAACAGTATTTCCTCTAGTTTCTTTTCTTTCATGGATTAATTTAAGTGTTCTCTGGAGGTTTAAAATGGAGCCAAAGTGAAATAACACTAGAAGTTGGAAGCAGTGTAAGCTGGGTGGCTGTCCAGAGCCTTTTTGAGTCTTGATTCGATAGAGTCATTTTTCATTGAAGCATGATTCATTGAAACTACTCTACTCTACGGCCAAAAAAAAAAACAAAAAAAACACGTACACATATTTATTCATATTCCTACAGAAATTATGATGTCACTTACAAATTAGCTGTGTTTTTGTTGTTGTTTTTAAAGAAACTGAGAGATAAGAAAACTGTTTTATTTGGTAACTGACATCATGCACAGTGGATGTTAATAGAACTTAATTTATATTGAACCTGGAGCATAATTTATTACATTAATGCTCTCTTAATAAATCCATCGCAGTTGGATTTAATAAAATAAAATCTAGAGTTGCTCTATTCCACCCCCATCATCGTAAGCTATCACAGAGAGACAATTCATCATGCATCAGGCTTTCCTGCCCCCATAGGCCACGTCTGAGCACACTTTTAAGTGAAGCATGCCATGTGAAGCAGGTACTGTGTGTTCCTGCTGAAATCCCCTGCAGGGTTGGTTTGACGCTGCCATTGTTGTGCGTTGTTTAGGTAGTTGCCCATGTAAGCAGAGAGTGAGCGGATGGTAAAAGCCACAGCGAAAACCCTCTAAGACTCCCTCCAGTTGTTTACATGTTTTATTTATCTTTAGGGGCTTCAGTAGCCCAGCTCTGCCTTGTCAGAAGGTCAAGAATAAAAGGAAGGGTAGGGAAAGAGAGTGGAGAGGGCAGAGATTGCATAATGGGCACACAGTGCAAGCATGGCAGCGTGCCGGCTGAATTAGATACATTGATTTGCAAAGTCTTGGCGGGAAACAGTTGGCAAACGGGCCCCAGGAGTGATTGTGAGCTTGCTTTAAAAGGACGGTGTGTGTGCTTGCATCCATGTGTATTTATATGCGAGTTCTATGTGAATCCATGCTCAATTAACATCATTTTAATTGTATAATATTTTTCAAATGTTATATTTAAGTGACGATATTTAATATATTTTAAATATATTATTTCATTTTATTTAAATTAGTTATTTGATAAGTGTTGATAGCAGTGTTTATGTGCTTTTGTTTAGTATGTTTATATGTACATGCATAAGTTCAAATGCATATATGTGTGTTGCATGTCGAGGGACCATGACATCTGCGATTCACACCCATCTGACCACAGCAGATGTTGGAGCAACTAATCTCCACACGCAGCTCTTTTATGTAAAACATGTCAGACTGTGCAAAAAAAAAAAACATCAATTTCATCCCTATTGATTATGAAACAAATAAACTTTGAACCCCCTGGCCCTCAACACCCCTCACTCTGTAAAGGGCACCAGCTTCCATCGGTGCCTTTCTGTCATCGGGACACTTCAAAGGTCTGAATAGTCCCAGTAGACGGCCATCCCACTGGAGGGCAGATTGCACTGAGAATGTAATGATGTTGACACTCATGTACTCAAATGTGCCCGCTCACAAGAATTGCACTTTTTTTTTTACTTCTTATGTAATGCGAAGTTACAGAGGCTTCATCAGATGTCGCGATCTAATTTAAGGTGGTATTTCCACAGTGGACCACTTTGACTTTAAAGGAAGAAAATGAAAATTCTGTCATGATTTTCTCACCCTCATGTTTCATTTTAAAGGTGAAGTTTTGAATAGAATATCCTGGCTGCTCTTTTCTATATAATGCAGTGGTTCTCAACAATTTGGACTCCATGACTTTTCCAATTGTTCATGATTTGCTGGGTATTTGAGTGTGAGGAACAGATCATAATTTAAAGGGATAACTGTCATCATTTTCATACTTTTAAGTTGAAAATCTTCTTCTGCTGCTGAACACAAAAGAAGATATTTTGAAGAATGTTGGTAACCAAACAGTTGCTAGTCCATATTTACTTCCATAGTATTTTTTCATGTTAGTTCAACAGAAGAAATAAACTCATACCGGTTTAGAATGACTTGAGGGTTGGTAAATGATGACAGAATTTTCATTTTTGAGTCCTTGATTACGTAACTCGCGTTACTTGTAATGCGTTACCCCCAAAACTGGTGACTAATATGTGAAAGATGCACAGTGTCATACACCCATACAAAACGCCATCATGGTAACACACTTGACACTAAAAGTATGCAATAAACATTAATTTAACAACATAATGTGTAACATAAAACCCTAATGTTGTCAGGATTATGGACCTGTTTTGCCCCTGTTTCTGTGTTCCCTTATTTGGTCATGTTCCTGTTCTCGTTGTCTCGTTATTAGTTGATTCCCCGCACCTGTCTGTCCCTCGTTAAGTTTAGTATAAATGTGTAGTCTGCCTCATGTTTCCTTGTCGGGTCGGGTCAGTAAAAGGATGTTGGTAACCAAACAGTTGCTAGTCCATATTTACTTCCATAGTATTTTTTCATGTTAGTTCAACAGAAGAAATAAACTCATACCGGTTTAGAATGACTTGAGGGTTGGTAAATGATGACAGAATTTTCATTTTTGAGTCCTGGAGCTTCAAAAGGAAGGTATGAGCTTGAAGTGGGAATTTTAATTTTGTCTATCTCTCTCTCTCTCTCTCTCTGTCTCTCTAAAGGCCATGTATATGTTTTACGCACTGGCACTGGTGTGTGATGACTACTTTGTTCCCTCTCTGGAGAAGATCTGTGAGGTAAGACCTTCATCATGTCCTAGCTAATGTTCTACAGTTGCTAAATCATTTAAAGCATGTTTGAAGGTGAAATATGTAATAATTTATTTAATATTTTCTAATTCATAAAAATTAATTATAGTTGTCATATGAAAATATATTCATTAAATATTCATATTTCGTCCCAGTCTAAGCTATTTTAAAACAGTTTTTTATAATATTTTAAATATATTTTTATGTTAAAATATTTAAATTAAATATTTCTGTTTTCTATTTCTATTTTCCAATAGCAGATGGGAGAAGTGTTCAGGAAACTTCAGATTAGTCACTATTTTTGCCTGTTTTCTGTTTGGTGCATATTTTTCACTTCATCTTTCATGTCTCTCTCTCTGTCTTTGTGTAAATGTATTGTAGCGCCTCCATCTCAGTGAAGATGTAGCAGGAGCCACGTTCATGGCAGCAGGAAGTTCCGCTCCTGAACTCTTCACCTCAGTCATAGGTAAACATCTCTGAACACAGCCTGCCTTTGGAAAACAATACCCCTCACATTTGAACATGGACTTTCACGTGCCCTTTGTAAGCCACCCTGTCTTCTTCGTGCAGGTGTATTTATCACCAAAGGGGATCTGGGAGTGGGCACAATCGTGGGTTCTGCTGTCTTCAATATCCTCTGCATCATCGGTGTGTGTGGGATCTTTACTGCACAGGTACTCATTACTTTGCACATGAACACATACCCAAAAGCTGTTTTAGGTAATGTTTCAAACCATTTTAAATGAAAAGCTACGTTATAGCTTTCTTAAATGTAGCGATGGGGAATTCTAACAAACAATTCCATCAGTGTTTTAGTTTTCTTTAGTGTAAATGTATCTTTTTAACCCATAGTGGAAGAATGCATTATATAATGCTATAGTTATATTCCAAGTACTGTATCTACCCCAACACTGTTTAAATCAACACTGTTTACTACAGTCTGTGCATTGCAACAGTAAGACATTATTTTCTGAGCAAGCATCATGAATTCTCGACATCTGTGAGAGGGCATCTTAGAGATGAATGAGGTGACCTGTGCATCCCCTCCTAAACATCTGCCCTAAAAAAGTCATTACTTAGTGCAGAATGACAGTAAGAAGTGAGCAGGCTGTTTTCAGGGGTCACTGAGAGTAGCTGATGAGGTCAGCCATGTTAGCTGTGGAACTGCTTTTTTTTTTGTTTTCCATCCTTTGCTTTCCACTTGATTCAGTCATTCATGCTCCTTCGGTTTAACCTCCTGAGACCCCTACTATGTTAAAGAAAAGAGGATATGAGGTTATTCTTTGCACAAACATTGGAAACTGCATAACAGTTTTTTCCTCTCCCAGTCTTTCTCCAGTCACCATCTGGCAGTGGAATAGAGGCATTGTGGGTAGTCTGATAGACCTCAGAAAAGTCTTACGTCACACACATATATACATCCACACAACTGTTTTACTTCTTATGCCCTTTTCCATTATACATTGGGGAAAACTAAATACAAACTACTGTATATATTGACAGGAAATTTATTTTGGATTTAAAATTAATTTTAATTTGAACATTGTGGTGTCCAATTGATAAATAATCTTATTGCTTATGTGGAATGTGTGTTTGAAAATGTATGATTTTTATGTATGATTACACTTTTATTATTTATTTATTTTAAAAGTAGTATTTAATTTGTTTTATTTTGTATTATACATGTTAAAGAAATGTGTTTTTATACACACATGCACACTCATTTTTATTTATATTTATGCACAGACATACATGATACAGAGTGGTTTTGTGTTTGGGCAAATTTTTTTCTAACAAATTAGCATTTTTTATTAGTGATGTCAGTAAATCATTCCAAAAAATGGCACAGGGCCATAAGACACTCGCACACTTATGCATGGAGTCATTCAGTGTCAAGGGAGAAAAACACATCTGCAACAATGGAGCTTCTGGTTGCCATGGAAACACAAAGCCAAGAGTGTCACCTGTGGTGTAAGTTAAGCTGTGATGGTGCATTACTTCTGGTGCTCTGACGTAGATCAGTGCTTTTTATGGAAGGATCGCTCTACACAACATGACACACATTTAATATGGATTATTTCACACAGTTCAATCAGTTGGATTCGGTACAGGATGTCACGTTCATATATGGTTCCTACTTCATTCATTTCCTTTACTCACTTCCAATTCATACACTTTAATTCAGCATTCTAAAGTTTGCAAGCCAAGACCAACTTTTTAAAAAGAAAAAATCTGGTAATAGTTACAGATTACACATTATATAAGAGGTATGACAAGCACATTTTAAAATGCTTTAATACCAGGGTTTCCAGCTGAGTCCATGAATGAAAGAAGCATGCAGTTTTATTGTGCGGAATACAGACTTTTTGAACTAAACTCCTTAATATACTGTACAATTATCATGCAATGTCATTATTAAAGATGCAGGTTTTTTTCTGTAATTTCTTTTTTCAAAATCATGGCACCTTTATGTGTGTCCCATTTATAATCAGGGCCCTGTAATATGAAGGTAGATGACATCCTTTATGAGTTATCATAAAACTTGCTCTACGCTTAATTCTTTTACAGTAATTTACAGTGAAATTTACAGTAAATAACCAGCAGCTGTGGTTGCCAGAACTTTAGCCTAAAATATGGTAGCAACATTTTAGTTTTTAAATTATATTTTTATAAATTATCTAAATATATAAATTCTGCCTCATGTTTCCTTGTTGGGTCTTGTACGTCTTCCTGGTGCTCTGTGTCTCCCAGCTGGATTATTAAAGACTCTCGTTTTGTGAAATCTCCACGTCTCCTCATTTCTCCCGCAAACAAAGTGTGACAAATGTACTGATACAATGATAATAATAAACCTAAGAAGAAACAAAGTTAAGTTTGCTTGAAAAAGCCAACTTACTGAAATCCTATTTAAACCTTCTTCCAAATTTTAAAATGTATCTCCTGCTAGACTTTTAAAGCTACAGCCACAAAACTTGGGTCAGACCTTCAGACTGGTCTGACTTGGGTTGCTATATCTTTTCTAACTGATCCGGCTTATGGTTTTCGTAAACCAGACTATCAAAACCACCTAAAATCCCATAGACTTTCATTGAAAACTTTTATACAATAAGACTTATGGTGTATTTAAGCTGTCTATTGCTATAGCAGAGCTTAACAACTCCCTACTGAAAAAAACCCCAGCTAAAACCAGCCTAAGCTGATTGACTGCTTTGGCTGGTCTCCCAAGCTGGTTTTAAAGTGGTTTTGGCCACTTTTTTAGCAGGCCAGGCTGGTCTTAGCTGTTTTTTTTTTGTTTGTTTTTTTACTGAATCAACTGGTTTTAGCTGGATTAGCATAGAAACATGCTAACAACATGCTAGTAACTTGCTAATCATGCTACGAACATGCTAACCAAATGCTAGTAACTTGCTAATAATGTTAACAACATGCTAGTAACATGCTAATCATACTAGAAACATGCTAGTAACTTGCTAATCGTGTTAAAAAAGGCTAACACCACGCTAGTAACGTGCTAATCATGTTAGAAACATGCTAGTAACTTGCTAATCATGCTACTCATGCTAAAAACATGTTAGTCACGCTAGAAACAGCCTAGCAACCACCCCAGGTACCCTAGCAATATGTTGTATACCTATCTGTTTTTCTGATAGACTGTATTGCCTCGAAAACATTCAAACTTTAATCTTTAAAACTATTTTAACTTTCAAACTACTTCAAGCTTTTAAAACTTTTTTCAAACTTTCTAGCTAGGCTTTTTCAAGCCAACTTAAAGTTTGTCTACAAACTTTTCAATCTAGTTTCAATTAAAATCCATCAAATGATAGCTGTCAAACAGGGAATTTTAGGAATGTCAATACTTGGTGTTTGTGCGTGTGTGTGTTTGTGTTATTTTTACTTTTTTATTATTCTTTTTTTTTTACAGTGTAGTTTCTTTTATGATTTTTGTCACCACAAAAAAAAAAACCTTGTTCAAGATGACTGGTGAAAGTAAATCAATTAAATTAAAGAGTTTTACTGCTTTGACACTTGCTCAGTTCCATTGACACACTCCCTTTGAGTCTTAGTGTGTGTGTTTTTAGTGTGTATGTGTAAACTGTCTCTTCATTACTTGTCTCTCTCTCTCTCTCGTCCATCCTCTCTCCCTTGTCGATGCAGGCAGTTCAGCTCTCGTGTTGGACGTTAATGAGAGACTCCATGTACTACACTATCTCAGTGACTGCTCTGATCGTGGTGAGTAGAACTCCAAGTGGCTTTTCGTGCTCCCATGATGCCTATGGGCCTCCTCGCGCAGCAGGAAAGGAGAAGCAAGTGTCTCTCCCGTGGGGCGCGTGGCCTGCAGCACAGGCCTCTTATTTGCCCACACTCTGCATGTGTTACCAGCGCAGAGGAACAACAAAAACCAATTAATAGTACACAGGACACAAAGTAACTGAAATGTTACTCACAGCACCTTATTAAAAGTTGGATTCACTGAAAGAACAAACTGTATTGTAAAAGTTTATACTTTTACAGTTTTTGTACTTTTTTGGAAGGGGTGATATTTCTTTTCCAATTACTTTCACTTATGATAGCCAGGTTTTTTTTTTTTTTGTCTGTGTGTGTCTGTGTGTG